CAGGGTAATGGTGCGCTGTGCTCTGTCCCGGGTGATCTGCAAGCCAAGGTAGCTGCGTAGTTCACCCAGGTCTGTGCACGTGTGTCTCTTCTACAGCTCGGACTTCACGTGGGCGAGTCCAGCAGTGTCAGCAGTGGCAAAGACCAAGTCGTCGACGTACACAAGGATGTAGAATGGCGGCAAAGAGGTGTTGGTGCGCAGAAACAGCGACGGGTCGGCTGTAAAAGGAGCAAACCCAAGAGCCGCAAGTGTAGTCCTCAGTGTGTCGTGCCACTCACGGGGCGCCTGGCGGAGACCGTTGACTGGTCGCCGGAGGCTCCACTGGGTACCAGGAGGAAACGACCCAGTGAAGCCAGGTGGGCGGCGCAGCCAGATCTCCTCGTGCAGGCTGCCCTGCAAGAAAGCTCAAGTGAAGACAAGAGAGTGAAGCTCGTAGTCGCGCTGAGTGGCTATGTGCAGCAGCACCCGAAGAGTGGTCATCTTCGGGGTGGGAGAGAAGGTCTGAAAGTAGTCAACTCCCTGCCGCTGACTGAAGCCTCGAGCCACGTAACGCGCCTTGAAGACAGGCGGAGAACCCGGCGGCCGCTTCACCCTGAAAATCCACATGCCACTGACGATGTTCGCCCCAGATGGGGGAACCTCGTCGTCGTAGGTGCCTGTGGACTTCCAAGAAGCCATCTCTGCATCCATGGCTGAATGCCACTGAGAGGAGTAGGGACCCTCGATCGCCTCAGCGTACGATCGAGGAGTCGGGATGTCTGGTGCATCCGGGTCTCCCTGAGGGGCAATCAGCGAGGACACGAGATGAGGCAAAGCTGCAGTAAAACACTGGAACTCCTCCTGCTTGACCTCAAGGACGTCCGTGCTAAGATCACACTCACCCCCGACGGACGGAGGACAGACAGACTCAGACTCAGCAACAAGACTAGCGGCGTAGTCTAGACGACAGCGAGCTGCAAACTCGACAAGCTCAGCAACTAGGGCAGATGCAGCAGTGGACGCAAAGGAAGGGTCAGTGACAACAGTAGCCAGGAGACGCGTGACAGTAGGACTGGCAGCACGAAGAGAGTCAGACTCCGGGTCAGCAAGAACAGGAAGAGAGGACTCTGGAGGAGACGGCAACGGGACACGCAAAGGAGCAGTGGAAGGACGCAGTGCCATCTGGTGTGTGCCTGGGACCGCAGGAGGACGCGGACGCGGAGCACGACCACTCACACGTACAGTGGGTCGCCCGCTGACTCGTAGGAGTGAACTGGTCAACCCCCTGATCCTGTAGATCAGCACCACTCACCAAGTTCGTAGAGAACGAGGAGAGGTAGAGACCTGACAGGGTGCCAGAGGGGGCCGCCGGACAGGGTAAGAAAGTGGACAAGCGAGCAAGGACAGGACCTCCAGAGGGGTCCGCTAAGGAGACCGCAACCGGCCGAGTGAGCGGCGTAAGGGTGGTGCGGTCTCAAAAGAAGGAGCGGGAAGCACCCGAGTCAAGAGTGAAGGTGTGTTAGGCCTGAGACGACGTGGTACCTGAGAGAGCAGACTCACCAGCACCTGGGGCAGCAGACGCACCAACACCTAGAGCAATAGCCTCACCAGCACCTAGAGCAGCAGCCTCAATGCCTGGGTCAGGCGGAACACACAGGTAACAGTCACCCTCATCACTAGAAGGCAATGCATACATGGCAGTGAGGATAGCATCATAGTCAAAAGTATAGATATCTACCCTCAGCCGAAGCAGCTCCACCCAGTCGGGGAGCTCAGCCGCGTCGCCAAACTCCGTACGCCAAGCGTCGCTCAGACGGGCGAAGCAGCGGGACTCTGCGTGACCAAACGTCCCGCAAGGCTGACCAGTCCAAGCACCAGTGCGAATGACGTACGGACAGCGAGCAGTACCCCGTGACCCGTCACGCTGAGCGTACCACTCACGAAGCTGCTGGGGCGAAAGGACCGCTCACGGACGACGCTGAAGTTGCACCTGGCCACTACAAGCAGCTGCCGAACTACTCACTCTAGGACGACTCCCACTACGGCCACCCCGACAACCCCAACTAGCGTACCACTCACGAGGCTGTTGGGGGGTGAAGGACTCACGCGGGCGACGTTGGAGCTGCATCTGGCCACGCCAGGAGCAGCAGTAGCAGTAGAAAGAGCAGCAGCAGTAAGAGCAGCAGTAACAGCAGGACACGCAGGGCAGTGCTCCCCAGTTGCGAGAAGGGCAGGCGTACAACGGCGGCAACGGTGAGGCCGCTACCACTGTAGAGCGAGAGCTCCGCGGCAGCTGCAGGGGTGGCTGCTCCAGGGGCGGCAGTTGTAGGGGCGGCTGCTGCAGGGGCGGCTGCTCCAGGGGCGGCTGCTGCAGTGGCGGCTGCTCCGGGGGCGGCTGCTGCAGTGGCGGCTGCTCCAGGGGTGACTGGTGCAGTGGCGGCTGCTCCAGGGGCGGCTGCTGAAGTGGCGGCCGCTCCAGGGGCGGCTGCTGCAGTGGCGGCTGCTCCAAGGGCGGCTGCTGCAGTGGCGGCTGCTCCAGGGGCGGCTCGGCTGCTGGGCGACTCGGCAGCTCAGCTGCTGGGCGGCTCGGCGGCTCGGCTGCTCACTAGGGGCGGCGACGGTGCCGGGTAGGGGCAGCGACGGGGCCGCTAGGGGTGGGGAGTGGCGGCGGGGCCGCTAGGGGCGGCGACGAGGCCGCCTAGGGGCGGCTAGGAGGCCGCGTAGGGGCGGCGACGGGGCCGCGTAGGGAGGGAGGCGGCGACGGGGCCGCTAGGGGCGGCGACGGGGCCGCATAGGGGCGGCGACAGGGCCGGGTAGGGAGGGAGGAGGCGACGGGGCCGTTAGGGGCGGGGACGGTGCCGCGTAGGGGCGGCGACGGGGCCGCTAGGGGCGGCGACGGGGCCGCGTAGGGGCGGCGACGGGGCCGCGTAGGGAGGGGAGCGGCGACGGGGCCGCGTAGGGAGGGGAGAGGCGACGGGGCCGCGTAGGGAGGGGAGCGGCGACGGGGCCGCTAGGGGCGGCAACGGGGCCGCTAGGGGCGGCGACGGGGCCGCGTAGGGGCGGCGACGAGGCCGCGTAGGGGCGGCGATGGGGCCGCGTAGGGAGGGGAGCGGCTACGGGGCCACTAGGGGCGGCGACGGGGCCGCATAGGGGCGGCGACGGGGCCACTAGGGGCGGCGACGGGGCCGCGTAGGGGCGGCAACGCGGCTGCGTAGGGAGGGAGGCGGTAACGGGGCCGCTAGGGGCGGCAACAGGGCCGCTAGGGGCGGCGACGGGGCCGCGTAGGGGCGGCAACGGGGCCGCTAGGGGCCGCGAGGGGCCTGGAAGGGCGGCGACGGGGCCGCTAGGGGCGGCGACGGGGCCGCTAAGGGTGGCACGAGGGGTCGTGAGAGGGGCCTCTAAGAGAGCTCGTCAGAAGGGCGGCCCACAAGGCGCGCCTCAGGCAGGAGCGACTGTCGCTCTGGTGAGAAAAAAAAAAAAAAAAAAAAAAGGTTTCAGTGGTGGGCCCAAGGAAGCGTTCCCACTAGGGAACCTGCTCTATACCATGTGAAGAAATGAAGGATGAATGAACTAGCACAAGGTTGGGTACAAGTAGGAAACCCTAGGAAACTGTACCCCATAGTGTCTACCCCACTATAGCCTAGACAAGCTATATAATATGAGTTTGACACTGCAAACAAATGGCACCCCCCTATGATGCACCACCTGCAGTTTTGCAGTCCCGATCCCCAACTACCAATGAGACGCGGTCGAGGCGTTGCCTGTACATTTTGGTTTCAGCGTTTGTTCCGCAACCATATCGTCTTCACCTCGCTCTTGTTTCATGTTGTTGTTAGTCTCGCGAACAAGGATCGACGTGCATGTGGTGCACCTCCAACCCTTGATCGCGTGGGATCGCCGGCTCTCAGATCCCGCGTGATCGAGGGTGGCTGGGTGGCAGTTTTCGCGATCCCCCAGGGTCATGGTGCAGCAACGCTACAGTAGTTACTGTGCGTAAAAGACAAGACACTGTAACAAGGATCGCTTGGAATCGCGATCCTACAAAATAGCATGATGCACCCCGCCCTAAACATTTGACAGCTCACAAATAAAAGTGTGGACATTACTGTGGGTCCTTGCAAGTGCTTCATCAAAACCTTCAACAGCTCAGAAAGGATGGATGCGATACGATTCGCCGAGTGGAGACAGGCACTGTACCCATGCAAGATCAGCAAAGTTTGAAAGAAGAAACTTCCGCGTGGCTGAAGAACCATCGCGTGGTTCGGCAGTGACTGTCGTAACTGTCTTCTTGACCATATCGTAATCCTTTCACGAATCTTTTTAATTTCGCGGTCAGTGTAAAAATCGGCCTTGTGTATAATGGTGCTATAGAACTCCTAAGCACCACAAACAAGCTTCCTCAGAACTAGTGTTTAGCTTTGTTTTACCAGTACTCTACCCAAAATTTGATGCCAAATTGCTGCCTCTAATACGCCAACCCACGCAACTGGTTCTAGCTGGCCACTGTCTTTTTAACTATCATACGGTTCTTCACACCTTTTGTTTTAAATCAATTTGAGGTTCCATAGTTGACCTCGCGTCAGGTACCACACCATATCAAGACACATAGCATGAATGTAACCGATCATGAATACGTTGTCCTACCTAAAGTCTTCCCCTCGACTGCGAGGCTCAGAGGGTACTGCCCTTTGGTAGCTTCATTCTATCACGTTCCACTCCATGCAACCTATCTCCTCCACACGTGAGTCATGTCGAACTGCTACCGCTCGACCGCAGATACACGTCACTAACCAGTACGTGCCATACATGCTCACAGTCAAAACCGCTCCACATTCCCTGCGCACTACGGGCGTTTGCATTTTAAGAACAGTCATTAGTGGAGTCGCGCATTATTCTGATTGGAACTCCTATCCAGCCAAGCAAACTTCGTTGTGACGGGTTGACCAAGCACCATTTCTATCGCACACTCGTTAGAAGGGCGTCTACCAGGCTCCACTTTACTGCACGAGAATTGCTCAGCCATGTCCAACGGACGCATCGTGTCGGCCATGCTCGGTACGTGCTGCCACGATGAGCTCCACCGTGCAATCGAGCCGTTCGCGGCTCGGGTATGTGCTTGACTATTCTCGGTTTCATGCTAGCACCAGATCTGCTTGTGTATTGTGATGCCTAATCGTTCAATGATTATATCATGCCCTTGTGAACTGCTATCATATCTCATTCTGCTTCAGACCAACCTAATAATAACCGTGTCACCATTTCCCTCGTCCCTGATTTTTCCCTTGTGGTGGAAAACATGTCCCCAAGACAACAGATGAGCAAGATCAGCAAGGCTCAAGGCTCTTCCATACCCACCAAGATCAAGAAGGTGGACAAGGCTGAAACCACGAAGAACTATGTGACGAAGGCTACTCTGACCTCTAAGACTACAAGCGACCAGGGCCCAGACGTAGGTGCTTCCCGAAAGTCCAAGCGCCCGCAAAAAAAGAAGGTGTGGCTGGAGGAAGACAACGCCCCTCAGGATGAAGCTGAAGTGTCAGCTGATGAGGATGACAAAATGGTAGATGGCGACCAAGAGGAGCATGAGGAGGCTGAGAATGCATGGAAGGAGAGGCATGATGAGGAGGAGGAAGAGGAGGAGGAGGAGGAGGAGGAGGAGGAGGAGGAGGAGGAGGAGGAGGAGGAGGAGGAGGAGGATGTGGAGGAGGAGGATGATGATGAGGAGGAGGAGGAGGAGGAGGAGGAGGAGGAGGAGGAGGAGGAGGAGGAGGAGGAGGAGGAGGAGGAGGAGGAGGAGGAAGACAAGGTGGATGAGGCGGATGTGGAGGCTGCACAAAAGCAGGAGGATGCGGATGGGGAGGCAGAAAATAGTAATGAGGAAGCGGATGAGCCTAAACGTGGTGTCCGTGCGTGTGGCTTTGAAGAGTTGCTTGAAGAGCAATGCGAAGCTGAAGATGACGAGGCCGAGGAGGACGAAGCAGTGGCTGAGGCACGAGCTCTGCTACGTGGGAACAAGAAGGCGCTTTCCGACCTCAAGAAGACTCCATGTGGAGCTCAGAAGGAAGTCAAGGGTGGTGCCAAAAAGGCGTGCCCTGAAATTTCTGCCATCCGCCCTGCACCTGTCAAGAATTCTAAAGCCAGCTGCCTGCTACTGGTGACAAGGCTAAGGGGAAGGAGGCTATCGGTGACAAGGCTAAGGGGAAGGAGGCTACCGATTTCTGCCATCCGCCCTGCACCTGTCAAGAATTCTAAAGCCAGCTGCCTGCTACTGGTGACGAGGCTAAGGGGAAGGAGGCTATCGATTTCTGCCATCCGCCCTGCACCTGTCAAGAATTCTAAAGCCAGCTGCCTGCTACTGGTGACAAGGCTAAGGGGAAGGAGGCTATCGGTGACAGGGCTAAGGGGAAGGAGGCTATCGGTGACAGGGCTAAGGGGAAGGAGGCACCCGATCTGAGAAACAAACGGTCTACTGCATTGGTGCCAGTTGGCGGTGCCATCAAGAAGCAGAAGTGCTTAGAAGCAGGCACATCAAAGGCAACAGCAAACCTAGGAGTGGTTGATGTGAAGGGGAGCCAGAAAGGGCGTGCCAAACCTTGTGGCAAAAAACCCAAAGGTCGGTATCTGTTTGCGTAAGTATGGCATCCCAATGCGGTCTTCGTGTCATGGCATGTTTGGCCCAGCAGATTCACTGACCTATTTGTTGCATCCAAAGAACTTCCGTTATGCTTCAATGCGATGTTGCTGCAACGTGCATCGCACATTTAAACCCTTCCCTTCCTCCCACAACCCCTTTCCCCCTTTTCCCTTCCCCCCCAACAGCACCTTGCCCTGCAACCTGGCATTTCTCTAGCAAGTTCTCTGCCATATCCTGAAGTCATGTACCCTAATAGCTTTTCCATGTCTTTCCTCTCCCCAGCACTCACCCTCATTTCCCACCCTCTTCCCCCCTCTGTAGTTTCCTTACCCTCCCCTCCCCACCAGCACCTATCACTGCACCTACACCATTCATTTGCAGGTCCTCGACCGTCTCTTGCTTGCATCTACCACTAAATTTTCTAACAAACCAACTGTGTTTACTTCCCCCCTTCCCCCACCCTCTTTCCCCCCTCCCCCACCGTCTACTCCCCCTCCCCCACCATCTACTCCCCCTCCCCACTGTCTACCCCCACTCCTAAACCCTCTATCCCCCCTCCTAAACCCTCTACCCCCCACCTAAATCCTCTACCCCCCCTCCTAATCCCTCTACCCCCCTTCTAAACCCTCTACCCCCCCTCGTAAACCCTCTACCCACTCCTGAACCCTCTACCCCCCCTCCTAAACCCTCTAGCCCCCCTCCTAAACCCTCTACTCCCCCTCCTAAACCCTCTGCCCCCCCTCCTAAACCCTCTGCCCCCCCTCCTAAACCCTCTGCCCCCCCTCCTAAACCCTCTACCCCCCCTCCTAAACCCTCTACCCCTCCTCCTAAACCCTCTACCCCCACTCTTTAACCCTCTGCCCCCCCTCCTAAACCCTCTACCCCCCCCTCCTAAACCCTCTACTTCCCCCTCCTAAACCCTCTGCCCCCCCTCCTAAACCCTCTGCCCCCCCTCCTAAACCCTCTGCCCCCCCTCCTAAACCCTCTACCCCCCCCTCCTAAACCCTCTACCCCTCCTCCTAAACCCTCTACCCCCACTCTTTAACCCTCTGCCCCCCCTCCTAAACCCTCTACCCCCCCCTCCTAAACCCTCTACCCCCCCCTCCTAAACCCTCTACCCCCCCCTCCTAAACCCTCTGCCCCCCTCCTAAACCCTCTACCCCACCTCCTAAACCCTCTACCCCCCCTCCTAAACCCTCTGCCCCCCCTCCTAAACCCTCTGCCCTCCCTCCTAAACCCTCTATCCCCCCTCCTAAACCCTCTACTCCCCCTCCTAAACCCTCTACCCCCCCTCCTAAACCCTCTGCCCCCCTCCTAAACCCTCTACTCCCCCCCTAAACCCTCTACCCCCCCTCCTAAACCCTCTACCCCCCCTGTCCCCCCCCTGTACCCCCCCCCTCCCCCCCCTTGTACCCCCCCCTCCCCCCCCCCTGTACCCCCCCTCCCCCCCCCTGTACCCCCCCTCTACCCACCATCCCCCCCCCTCCCCCACCCTGTAACCCCCCTCCCCCACCCTGTAACCCCCCTTCCCCCACCTTGTACCCCCCCTCCCCCACCCTGTACCCCCCCTCCCCCACCCTCTCCCCCCCTCCCCCACCCTCTACCCCCCCCTCCCCCACCCTCTACCCCCCCTCCCCCACCCTGTACCCCCCCTCCCCCACCCTGTACCCCCCTTCCCCCACCCTCCCTCTACCTGCCCTCCCCCACCCTCTACCCGCCCTCCCCCGCCCTCTACCCGCCCTCCCCCACCCTCTACCCGCCCTCCTCCACCCCCTAATCGCCCTCCCCCACCCCCTAACCGCCCTCCCCACCTGCTAACCGTCCTCCCTCACCCCCTACCCCCCCTTCCCTCTTTACCCCCTTTCCCCCACCCTCTTCCCCCCCTCCCCTATGTGCAGTTCCGAGAGATTCAGGAAGCGCTCCACCAGTCCACGAGACTTCACATAACACCAAGCAGATTGTGTTGGCACCATCCAACAAAAAGACTCCTTTTGTGGTTGCAACCATGGATCGCGGTCGAAAGAAGGTTGTTATCACGAGCGCGGACCTTGCAAACTTGGAGATGCGGATTGTGGCGAAGCTCACAGCCTTAGTCTCAACCTTGGCTAGGATTCCTGCCCAACCCGCTAGAGCAGTGGTGCCAACAGCCGAAGCCACATGTGCTGGTCCAAGTGACAGTTCTTCGGGTGGTCTTGCCGTGCAGAACAGTCCCCTTGCAAACCATCGCGAAATCGTGTCTAGGGCGGTGGTCGACTTCAAGGTGCGTGAAAATACAGGCTTGTGGTGTTCTAAACCCATTGTGTAGGGACGCTAGGTGAATGGGTGAGTATATGGAATGTATGGTTCTTAAGTTTTGAAGATTGTTTCTTTCCCTTCATTGTCAACCCTTCCCCACCCTCCCATTTGCTCACAACTCTCCAAACTCTCTCTAGTTCCACTGTACATGATAGTTTCGTTAAAGCCAAAACCCTACCAATTACAACTATGTGTCTTCCTATTATGTCCCCACACCCTATCAAGGACCATTCAAGGCGTGTTGCCACGCATTTATGCTTCAACATCGAAGCGACCATGATCCAGTTTTACCCCTCTGCTGAGGAGACACTGGATCATGGATTTGCTGAATTTGTTTCACCGCAAGTCCTTAGTTCCCTGTGAAAACTCTTTGAACACAATGATGTCAGCACTCGTGGCATTTTTTATGAAGCGTTGTCCATTCTGAGGACGATGATAAATGGCTGGATGCGCAAGGTAGCTCTCACGGCATTAGAGCGCCAGAAAAACAAGTGCTACCTGAGGAAGTTGCCGGAAGAGCTCAGGGTGCCCATCATCTTCTATTCGGACGAGGAGCTTATCGCCCGTTATCGCACCGGTATGGTCTTATATTTTGTGCCTCGTTTGTATTATCGCGGATGATATTGTCTAGTGTTTCGTAGCACAGGGCTCCACAGTGAACCCCGAAGGCAGTAGGGTGGCTGGTTTTCCTCCATCTTGCAGCCCATACTTCTCAGCCAGCCCCTCACAGTACTTCCACTAGTGCAACCTCAACACTCCCTTGTCAAGGTCCCTTTCCACATGCATCCCCAAGTAATACTTCACATCTTCCATCTTGGATCACTTAAACTGCATCTCCAGCATCTTCTCCACATGCTCAATCATCGCAGACGACTCGGAGAAAAGAAGGATGTCGTCCACGTACACCAGGAGAATGAGGAACTGCTCCTTCTCTTGCACCAGGAACAAGCTGTGATCACACTCGCTCTTCTTGAAGCCCCCAGCCAGAAATGTCTCCTCTAGCTTGTGGTACCATGCTCGAGGAGCCTGCTTCAAGCCATAGATGGCCTTCTTGAGCCTGCACACCCTGCCGCTCCCATCATCCAATCCCTCGGGTTGTAACATGCACAGCTCCTCCAAAATAATTCCATTGAGGAAGGCGGTGGTAATGTCCATCTGCTTCACCCGCCATCCACGGTTTGCTGCCATTCCCAATGACACCCGCAATGTTGTGCCTTTCCCCACTGGAGCAAAAATCTCGTCAAAGTCCTTCCCCTTTGTCTGCTGAAACCCCTTAGCCACAAGCCTTGAATTGTAGCGGGTCAGCGCCCCATCAGGTCCTTACTTGTGTCTGAAGATCAGCTTTGAAGCGATTGCCTTCTTCCCAGGAGGCAGCTCACACAGCTCCCAAGTCTCATTCTCCAACAGAGATTCATACTCCTCCTTCACACTCTGCTTCCACTTTTCAGCATCGGGCCCGCTCAATGCCTCGGCTAACATCTTGGGCTCAGGGACGGCTGCCCAGTAGCAGTGTGCTATTTCATTCTCATCACACTGCTCAGCCACATTCCCAGCCCGTACCACCTTTGGCTTGCCAAAGCTCGGATAGGTCAGCCGGTAAGGAGGGCGCACATCCCTCCTAGGACGGTCAGCCAAACGTGCGGCACCTTGTGGAGCACCTTGCTGCTGCTGCAGCTGTTGCTGCAGCTCCTCCACCTCAGGTTCTCCCCCATCCTCAGTCACCCCAGAGATCTCATTCTCAGAGACGAAAAACTCCACTTGCCGCAAAGGCCGCTGCACCTCATTGGCCTCGACAATCAACGATGTCGTAGGAAGCTTCTGCTGTTGTTGCTTCCACTCCTTGTAGTATAAGGACTCCAGGAACTTCACATCCCTCGACACGGTCTACTGCTGGCTAGTCAAGTCCCATATCAACCAGCCCTTATGATCCTTAGCAAGTCTCAAGTGCACACCCCATCTCCCAGAAGCTTCCAGCTTTCCCCTCTTCTCCTTAGGCACATGAAACACCACCATGCAGCCGTAGGCTCTCAGCATGTTGACTGCAGGTGCACTCCCATACCACTTGGTGTAGGGGACCCACTGCTTGTCCCCCATAGTTGCCAACTTCTGGTTCTTCACAAGGGCGACCTGCGGCAGTGCACTCACCCAAAACGGATCCGGCAGCCCTGCACGCCCAAGGAGAGTGCGAGCACCTTCCTGCAGGGTCCGATTGAACTGCTCAGCCACGCCGTTGTGCTGAGGGTTGTAGGGCACTCTGAGTTGATGCTGGATCCCCTTCTTTTTCAGCACCGCCTCGAAATCAGTGCCAATGAACTCTCCCCCGTTGTCAGTGCGGATCACCTTCACCTTGTGTCCGCTCTCCCTTTGTGCTCTCGGCATCCACTCCGTAAGAACAGCCGCTGCCACCTCCCCCTTAGTCTTGAGAGGGTAGACCCATACCGCACGTGTGTGGTCGTCCACGATGGTCAAGAAGTAGAGGCTGCCTGAGAGTGAAGGGGCCCTCGTGGGGCCCACCGTCTCGTTTTCAGTCCATGGTGGGGAGCTTGCTCTATGCAGCGGTACATACCAGGCCGGACATGAGGAGTACAAGTAGGAAACCCTAAACTTACTGTACCCCATAGTAACTACCCCACTACAGCCTAAACAAACTGTAGCAAATATGACATTTGACACACCCCCATAGGCAAAGTGGGGGAGAGCAAGGGGTCACAAGACCAGTCAAGAAAGGCAAAGCAAGCTCAGGGTGGATCACAACGTCACTACACACAATGAGCACAAGCAAAGAGTCACAAGGCCAGTTCACATGCAGAGGCATATATGCAACACAAACATCACAGTGATCTCTACCTAGCAAAGCAAGCATGTAGGTATATATATATATATAGATCACAGTACAAGCAAAGCCTACAGCAAGTGAGGAAAAGTGGGAACAAGCCCTAGCATAGTGCACAAATGCTGATGATCACCAGACTAAAGTGCATTGGTGAATATATCAGCAGTGCTGGCCTGAGTGGCCACGTAACGCAAATGAAGCTGACCACGCTGCTGCAACTCTCGAGCAAGGAAGTAACGCAGAGCGATGTGCTTCGTTCTGTGCTCCAGACTGTGCTCCTCATACAAGGCAATGGTAGCCTTGTTGTCGACGTATAGCACTGGAGGAGAACGAGGCCGCTCTCCCAAGTCAGTCAACAAATAGGTGAGCGAGCGTAACTCCTGTGCAGCCATGGCTGTGGCGTAGATCTCAACCTCACAAGTGGAGCTGAGAAATGAAGACGAGCGTGTAGAACGCCAAGAAACTGAACCAGAGCCAAGGCTGAAGGTGTAACCCTGTGACGACCGCTGAGTAGCCTGGTCGTCAACCCAAGAAGAGTCTGAGTGACAGTGAGAACAACTGAGCTCCTCCCTCCAAGCACGAGCCCCATGCCTGATGTACTGCACAAGTAGCGCAGTACCCTCTTAGCAGCATCCATGTGCACCTTTTGGTGCCAACCAGGAGCCACGTAGCGAGCCAGAAGGCCAAGAGGGTACGCGAGGTCAGGAGGAGTGCAAGTCATCAGG